AGCAAGACTGGGCAATCTTCTTCTGTAAAGATTTACTGCCTTGGAAACCCAATGGTGGTCACTATGAGTTGGAATCAACTTGATGGCAGTGGGTTTGGTTTTTTGGTTTGGTATTAAACACTTAACATGCATTTTAACGTAGGTAAACTCATTACCTAAAGAGAAACATATCTGCAAAGTGTGCACCAAGCTATTTACAACTGATATCTGTGGGCCACAGTGAGGGGATCTTATAGAGGGAAGATGTAGAATTATTCTACAAGTAGATATTTTAATATTATTTTGTAATTAGGCAAATTTTTTTGAGGGAAAAACTTGAAAGTATGTAATAAAATCAATGAAAAGTTTCACACACATATATATTGGTTTAGAAAAATGTTCACAGTATAGTGCTTTATTTTTTAAAATTAAACTTTTGATTTGACAGTTTATCTGTGTTTGCATGTTCCTGTCTCATACCGCCCTCACCCCAAACGTTTACACACGCTCCTAACTAATGCAGAGATTTATTTTCTCCTCACTCAGGGGCTGGACTTCCCCTATCAGGGGATAGAGATTGCTTTCAAGAGGTGAAAAATTCCAGAGAGTTCTGGCTTTTGCAGAGGCACCTAGGCACTGCCTCTCCCTTGCAAAGTTTCATGGCCTGAGACTTTCAGAGTTACAGTTCTGACTCTGAGCACAAGGAGGCATCTATCTACCAAACCAAAAGCCAAACTCACTGCCCCTGGAGTCGAATCTGACTCATAGCGACCCCTCCTTGGGTTTCCAAAGCAGTATCACTACAAAAGTAGATTGCCCAACCTTCCTTCTGAGGAGTGGCTGGTGGGTTTGAACATCTAGCCTTCTGGTTAGCAGTCAGATGCCTTAGGCACTACACTACCAGAGCTCCTATTTATCTACACTGAGCACATTTTTTTTTAAAAAAAGAAAAACGACATGCCTCTCCACGCCCACCCCAATCTCATTCCAGAGGAGCTCTGATGGTGCAGTGATTAAGCGCTTGCCTGCAAACCAAAGGGTCAGCAGTTTGAACCCAAAGGCCAATCTGCAGGAGAAAGATGGGAGCGACACTGCTTCCAAAAACACATACAGCCTTGGAAATTATGGGTTTCCAGTTCTGCTCTGTCCTATAGGATTACTATGAGTAGATCTGTTATATCCTTTATACATTCCAAGTTTATTTGTCATATGTTCTCACTTGGATGACTGCAGTTATTTCCTGCTATTTTGAGATTTTTCTGTTACTTTGCCATAATTTAAGAAAAACACAGATACAGAGCAGCAATCCTTTATTAAGACTATGCATGGGAGGGGTCATCCCCATTCTATTGCACTCATTTCCACTGTTTTCCCAGCAGCCCCTGAGTGACTGCGGACGAGCTCCTGTACTTCACTAAGCCTCAGCAACCTCACAGAGCAGGGGATTCGGCTTTCATGCCCCCTTGTGAGGAATACGGGACCAAATAGGTGTTATGTAGCAAGTCCAGAGTCTGGCATGCAGCAGGTCTCAGAGTTCCTTGGGTTTGCAGAATGAAAGCATGCTACATAATGCATCAGACACAGAATTGGCAGAGTAGGGGGTCCACAGCCTACCCTCAGTTCCCTGGGTTTGCAGCTACAATACCTGGGACCCAGGACTCCAGACTCCAGTTAACCATCTTTGCGGGGGAGTGGGTGTGAAGGGGTGGGAGGGAGGATGATAACTCAGTTGGAAACTGTTCCCTGGGTGTGAGGCTAGAAGGAAACTCAGGGGGCAGTAAGAACAGGAAGTTCAGTCTCTGGCCTCCAGGGCTCTCCTCTCAATACCCTTGAGAAAGAAAATTCCTGTGAGGACTCCATTTTATTCTTGTGGCCCTGAGAAGGTGGTTTTGGGACTCCTCTTGCCTCCCTCTATCCACCCCAAACCTCAGGCTCCAGACCGCACAGATTCTCCTCAGGAAATTCCTGTGAGGACAGTGGTGACAGTTCACTGGCTGCAGGTTGCACCATGGGTAAGTTGGTCTGCTCAGGAGTCAGGAAGGGTTCTGGACCCCTACCTCACCCCCAGATACCAGAAGACCCTCTTTAGATGGAGGGTGGTGAGGGCCCAAGTGACTTTTCTGCTCTTCTGAGGATGGGGATGGAGTGGAGCCATGACCCCTGTCATGATTCCACATGGAAAACCTCCCTTCCTGTGGTTTGGTCTTGGCTGAGGTGAAATATTCCCCCTGGTTGAGGGGAAAGGCCTGAGTCAAGTGCTTCAGAGTTTGGGGAGTAGTGAGGGTCACCTGGGGTAGGGGTGTTGAAAATTAACATTCTTGGGATTCATTCTTGGGGGAGGGGCTGGGAACTCGGTTTTACCATTGAATCCTCACACCAACCATTCATGTTAGATTGCATTGCTCCCACAGACGTTTCTAGAGGCTTATTTTATGGCTAAGCATATGATCTATTCTGGAATCTTCCACGTGTAGTTGTTATGTGCAGTGTTCTATTCAATTAACTACATTTTTTTTTTTTTTACTTTGTATAAATCTTCTCTATCTAACTGAATTTGGGTTTACCTGTTTTATCTGTAACTCAGTAAAATGTCCCACTGTGCCTTTGGACTTGCCCATTTCTCCATTTACTTCTGTCAGTTTCTGCTGTGTATGTTTTTGCTTCTATGTTAACAGGTGCACACAAATTTAGAATTGTTTTATTGTTTTATTCTTCAGGAACTGAACTTTTTATCACTATGAAAACACCCTTTTTTCTCTAGTAATGTTTTTGTCTTAAAGCATACTTTTTTGTCTTCTTTACTCTACCAAATGGGTGTCTCTTGTTACTTTTAGAAATTTCTTGGCTATGATCTTTTCAAATACTAATTCTCTACTATTCCCGTTGTTTCTTTCCAGACTCCAATTAAACTTGTTAGCTTTATTCATTATATCTGCTTTCACCCTCCATCTCTCCTTTGTTTCTCCAGTCTTCATTTTGTGTGTTTTCTTCAGACTTAGCTTTCGTTTCTAAGTCTTCTTCTTTTTTTTTTTTCCATTGTGCTTTGGGTGTAAATTTACAAAGCAGATTTGTTTTACATTCAACAGTTCATGCACATTTGATTTCACGGCCCAATTACCATCCCCAACCATAAAAAACTCCCCTCCCATCCTTGAGACTACCCCCTCCCTGTGCCCTTCTTATCTATGCATTCCTGCCTGTCCAGCTTTCCCTCTATGTGAATGCTGCCCCTCTTGTGTTTCATGGCTGATTGATCTAAGGGGTGCATCTCCCTAGAGTAGGTGGGTCCATTGCCCTGGGGTAGATGTTCTGCATGTAGCTCTTTCTACTATTGAGCTGAGAGCCAATCCATAGAAGTGAGTCCATTTCTAGGCCCAAAGGGTAACCCAGGGCCATAGTCTTGGGCGTTCCACCAGTTTCTATCTGACAAATAATTCTGGTCATTTTTGTGTTTTTGAATTTTGTTCCACATTTTTTCCTCCCACTCTATCCAGGATCTCCAATTTTGAGCTGTTCTTTTAAAGTGGAGCATTTGCTTTTGCCCCTAGAACATAACACCAAATATTCAGGGTCCATTTTATTACTCCCAAGAGCAGAAGAGAGAGGTAAGGATTGGAGATGGTAAGCAACTTGTCCCCGGTCACCCTGACTGAAAAAGTCAGAGCAGGGGCTAAGATCTCAGAATAGACCCTCTGCCCAAGTCCCTCCCTCTGTACTTCCTCTCTCCTGGGCTGCAAATCTCCCTTCCTTTTATCTCAGGAAATGGAACCACAATGAAGTCTTTCAACCTTTGTACCACTGTGCATAATTCTTTCTACATTATTAAAGTCAGTAAAATTTCTTCACTAGTAGTAGTGTTTTTGCAGGACTTTTTCTGGCGTTCAGACCATGTTGTTCCCAATTTTAGGCAGCAATCACTAACTTAATTCTTTCAAAGGAAAAACAAGATCCTGTGGTGTTTTCGGAAGGCGGTATGTCCATTGGTCTGAACAAGACGGTCCTGGCATTCATGCATCATCTCACCAAGAGCAAGATGGAGCAGTGGCAATGAGTGATACCCTCATGGGCCCTGGAGTAAGATAGTAAGTGGCATGCACAGAGTCAGAGGAATATGTAACCCTGTGTTTAACTCTGTCTGTCATTCCTCTTCTCCTCCCTAACCGGGTAGAGGGAAGGATGCTAGGATGAGATTAATAGTTGATAAACATTAGTATAGCCTTGATATCAGTGGGGAAAGGTATATAGAAGACTTTATGGACATTCATGGATGCCTTCCTTTTCTCCATATCCCCACAGCGCTCCATATGCCATTCCAGCCTATGGCCGGAGACACACTTGTCATAAAGGAGACCAAACCCATGGTAACATAGAGGCAGGGACAAAACCTTCAGAGGGAGAAATGGAGGGAAAGAAGCAGGATGGGACCGCCAGGAGCTGGTTCAAGATCACGGTAAGTGGCCTGGAAAAATGGATCAAATGTGGAGAGGAGACAGGTTGGGTGGATACTTTGCTGGGGCTTGAGGAGCTGGTAATTTGTCCCTTTTAGTACTACATGTTCACATCCTCGATTTGCCTACAGATAGGTTGGGAGAAGGAATAAAAAGGGCACAGGTTCAAGACAGGGAGAATGAGACAGTGTGTCTAAAGGCAGAGTTAGAAAGTGTTCACAAGGAGATAGGGAAACTCCCCACTGCATGGCTGGGTTTGGCTCAAACTGAGGGGTTGATGGGGTCAAGTCTCTAGAGTCCTTGTCAGAGGGACAGGCAAGGTCTGCATTAGGTAGGATCTCCTGGAACCTTATAAAAGGAAGATCATGTTAAAGACTTTTGGTTGGTTATTTATAAGAAAATGTGTGAATGTACAGAAAAGGTATTTAGGAACTCATGTCTGGTACAAAAGTTTGCAATAATGGACATTGGTTTGAACTATTTGAAGAAGTTTGAACTAATTAGAAATTATTTTAAAGCTTGGTAAAAGTTCTGAAACAAACACATGGCTGGGTCTCTCTTTAACTTTTACTTCTATCTTGTCAGGCTCCTCTCTCATCCTTTCTTTTCTCCAAGGTTCCATTTGGCATAAAATATGATGAGAAGTGGCTGCTGGATTTGATCCAGAGCCAATGCAGTGTCCCCTTTACTGCAATCAAGGTAAGAGAAGACAAGGAGACAGCCGAGTGGGCACAGGGCAGGTGGAGGGGCCAGGCTGAACAGGGACTCTGACCTGATGTATTTCTTTTGCTCCTCTCACTGAAGTTTCATTACGAGAAAATGCAGGCCCAGTTCTTTGTGGAGAATGCCAGCATTGCTTTTGCATTGAAGAAAGTCAGTGGCAAGATTTGGGATGAGGATAACGAAAGGGTGTGTGTCAGGGCATGGCAAGAGGGTAGGCTGGGGGATGGGTCTTGCTTGATGCGGGGTTTCAGAATTTGTGGTACTTATCCAACCTCTCCTATATTTTCTGCAGATATCTATCTTTGTCAGCCCTTTGACTGAACCCCACTCTGTGCAGAAGGAGCTGAAGTCAACACAGGTGAAACTGACAAAGAATGCAGACTCAAGACTTGTGTGCCCGCACCCAGACTTACCACTTCTTCTCTCACCGACTTCCCCTTCCACCACCTCAGTCCCAGAGCCACTGACTCCCATCTCTGTCTCTGCAGCTGACCAAGAACAGACAAAATGATGTCCCCCAGCAAGCGTCTGACCTCCAGACACTCTACCCAGAGGCAAGAATGGCTGAGAGCAGTAATTCTAGGGAAGGTGAGTGCAGAGAGGTCTTTCTGGGAAAGAGGGTAGTAACGTAGGGAGGTGTTGGTGCTGGGGCTGGTCCAGCCATACCCCTCTCATCCTTCTGATTCTCTCCTCTCGGCTTCCTGAAGACACGATGACCCATGATTTTGAAAGGGGACCTAATCTTAGAAACTGCATGGCTGTCTCCCTGAAAGTCCAGAAAGAGAACATGCCCCAGGTGAGGCCTTAGGCCCAGTTCTGAGGGTGAGGGTTGGACAGGTGGACTGGAGCGTGGATTTGTCCCAGATATCACCTCTTGAGATCTTCACTGTAGCTTTTTCCTCACCACAGCTTTTGCCCTTCAACTTGAGCAAGAACAAACCCTACCAGCTGTTTGACCTGCCCTATACCATGCAGAAGGCTCCCACCATCCAGAGCCTGAGCCTCTCCCAAAATGAGGTGAGACTCAGTAGATAGGGCCTTCTTCTAAGGCAAGGTGGTTGGGCCCATCAGGGTGATGACAAGATGCAGGTAAGGCTATTTGTGGGAGAGGGTGGGCCTGGGGGTGCAGGACCCTCCAGGCTTTCTCCCTGATTCATAATTCCTCCTCATAATGACAGGTGAAGTCTGAAGGGGAGTTGGTCAAGGTGAAAGGGCTGGAACCAGAAGACATGTGTGTAGACAAGAATGCTCTGTGCCCCACCGACCCAGATAAGTCCAGCAACATAAGGTCAGTTTTACCATCTGTTGTCCTCTGGCACCCTGAGGGACCCTTGAAAATGCCCTTCTACATGAGGCGGCAGCCCCAGTCCTCTGGGGGGACCACATGCCCCGCCCTCTACTCTCTGTCTCTCACTTATGCTTAGAGGTCTCCCTGCCTCCCTCTGACCTGCTCACATCTCCCTGAGAGCTGGGTCCTGTTTCCCACGCCTCTGCACCCAGCCTTCTCTGCCATGACCTTTCCTGGATGTGCTCCAGGAAGCAGGGCTTCCCCTCTCCCCAGGACAAGGACTGTGCACACTGTGCCCTACTCCCCCACTAGGGCTGCCTTCAACCAGATCCTGGAGCCCTGGACTATGAAGGCTCCTCCTGACCAGTGCCTCCTGCTGCCACAGGCCTTCATGCTCTGAGCTAAGATGGGGCTTCCCTCCCTGTCTTGTGATAAGCCCTCTCTCCCTTGTTCCAAAAGGGTTCATTGACCTGTCCCAGGCCACCATCAGGCTTTCCTGCCCCATGCTGAAGGCCAAGGCCCAGGGATAGCTGTATCATGACATCTGTTCATATGGCCCTGCAGTTAGGCGATGGCATCACGAGACAGGTGCCAAGTGTGGTAGGCAGGGGACTGAGGCGGATGAGGAGATAAGAAGACAGTACTCTCAGAGCTACTTTCTCCCTCCCTCATCCAGCCTGGTCCTTCAGAGCAGCACTGGGCAGACCAAGATGATCTCATTCCTCAGACAAGGGACCAACTAAGATAGGCACAGCTGTACAGGGCCCATCAGGGGAGAAGGTAACCCTGATAAGAGGGCCACAGACCCTCAACCCCAGGCTGTGCTGTTATCTGAAACTTTACTCCTGTGGAAAGTCTCCTGCCCCATTGACTTTTCTGTTTCCTATGCCCAGCTCAGATGGGATCACACAGATGGAAAGGTGAATGGGCACCAAGCCCAATAAGTACCTATTTTCCCTTCCTACCTCAGCCCCAATGCCAGGCAGGGGCACATGAAGGACAGGGTGGTAACAAGGGAGCAATTTCCTTTTTCTCCCCTATTTTCTCCCTACTTCCCACAACCTACGGTAAACTTCTTCCCCTTGCCTTTCCTTGGATTTCTTTCTTTCTTGTCTCCACTCCCCTATGTCTTCTCATCTATCCCTTCATCTATCTTCACTCCCTTTCTCTCATCATCCTCTCCCTGCCTCCTCAGCCTGCCTCACTCATCTCCTTGCCCAGGCATCCTGGGTCATCCTTGAGGGATGTCTTGGTCGTGTCCAGGGACAGGGCTGCCAGAAGCCTGGACACCTGATGAAATAGCAGAGCCCTGGGCCCCACCCCACTTCTTCCTCTCTCCAGAGCCTTCCCTGGGCATTTGAAAGGAGGTCAGTGAGGGAGGGAAGGGAGGAATCTCTCGATCCTGGGCTTCTGTGTCCCTGGAGTGGAAGCTCAGGGCTTTCCATGTGGGATCTTGCCAGGAGGAAGAAGGGGAGAAAGGTATGGAGGGTCAGTGCATAAGTGAGGAGCCCAGGGTCCTGAAAGGGTTGTGGCACTGGACTGTATGTGGGACACACTTGGCTGTGCTCCTGTGTAGGTGTGCTTGCTTCCAAGAGGTAGGCCAGCTCTGTTGTTACTTGCTTTTCGGTTTTGTCTTGATATTTAACAGCTCCCTCCTGGAATTCTTCCCCAAGTTACTACGCCTGGTAAGAGCATTCCTATATCCTTGACTCCTCTACCTGGCACAGATGCCACTCATGACCTTCCCTGAATCCTTTAGTTCTTGCCCAGGTGAGATTGTTGGATCTGATCCCTAATCCTCATGGGTGGACAGAGCCAGGAGGGAATTTGACAAGTACTATGGACCTTGTCTGCAGCTCTGCACCAGATTTTGGGATCCCCTCATGAAGATCCTGTAATAATTATGCCCATGAACTTTCAAGGGCCCTTTCATCCTGACCTTTGCCCCTCCCTGTCTCCTGGGCCCATCCTATCCCTGACCATCCAGTGCCTATTCCCTGGTCCGTACAGTTGACTTTCTCTTCCCTCCCCCAGGATGACCAAGGGTTATCCCAAACCATCACCTCTGGCACTGAAACCCAGAAGAAGTTACCAGTCTGCAAGGTGAGGACGTGGCCTCAAGCAGGGCTTGGGGTGCAGTGAGGGGCAACAACAACCAAGGTCCTGAGGACTGCTTTGATTCCAGGGCAGCGTCTTTGGATCTGAGACCCTGAAGGATCTACTCTTGCAATTCCTGAAGCAGTGTGTACCCCTGGGACTCTAGGAGGAAGGGGGGCTGGGATAGGCCAAGCTGCTCAGGCACAGACCTGCACATGGGAGGTTTTGAGTCCATTTAGGGGCTCAGACCAGAGAGAGATTGTCCCTTTTCTTCTCCACAGGTATTATTGGATCTATGACTATGGGAACAGGCAGGGTCTTTTGTGTGCTTACCATGATGAGGCCTGCTTCTCACTGACCACTTCCGTCAACCCTAAGGACCCAGCTCCGTGAGTATCACAGATGTGATGACACCCCTGGGCCCTGTGACTCCTCAGTGCACACCGGTCAGTCCCTTATCCGCTGTTCCTCTTGGTCTCCTAGAAGCAGCTTGGGCAACTACTTCAAAGATAGCAGGAACATGAAGAATCTCAAGGATCCCGGTAATTGTGTGAGCAAGAATACTGAGTGGGACAGAAAGTGTGAAGTATCAGTAATAGGGGCCAGGTGAGTGAGGCAGCCCCTGATGTTCTCTTCCCCTCCCTCCATAGCCCTGCGGCTTTGGTTGCTGAGACACACAAAACGTGACATTGTTGACTTCCTCAGTGTCTTACCCCAAACCCAACATGACTTCAACTCCTTCCTGGTGGACATGTGCTGCCGGACGGTGAGCAGCTGCTTCCTCCCTGAGGCCAAGACAGAGGAGGTGGGTAGGAGGTGTGGGGGGTGCTGGAGGTCTGAGCTGCTTTGCTCTTTCAGGAGAAGATGCTCTGCTTTTCTGTCAGCGGGCTGTTCAAGGAGGGTGAGTGTCTGTAGAGTCCCTTCCCCATGTCCCCCACTGCTCCCTCTCAGTCCTCTCCAGGCTTCCCTCATCCCTTCCCTGCCCATTCCCTCTGTGCTCTCCAGCTCCCACCCTGCCCCCAACCCACCCTGTTCTGACCTATGTCCACACCTGTCTGCCCCAGCACAGCCCAACTCTTAGGGACACAGGATGTGGAGTTTGAGGCTCTCATCCTTGTCCCTGGCTCCGCCGCCGTGAGAAAATTGCTTAAACTCTCAGTCACCTCATTTGCGACATGGGGCTAGTGATAGCCATCTCTTGCACTGCTGTTAAAAATGAGGCTACTGAACCTGTGAAGAGTTTGTCACTGGGCCTGATACAGAGTAGGGGCCCTGTCACTGTGAGGTGATTGTTCCTATTGTTGCCCTCCCCATCACTGACACCACTCCTGACTCCCAGTGGACAGTTGTCCCTGTGTGGCCCCCTGCAGTGTGCCAATAAGACAATAGGACCCTGCCTGGGGAGCACTGCTGGTGAGCATGTAAATCATGGGTAACTCTGAGGAGTATTGTTTGTTGTCCTTGAAGTTGAAGGAGTGTGTCAGGACCGGATTTATGCCTTCACCCGGATCTTCATTGCTAGTCCTGTTGGCAACTCCAGGTAAGTGCTGTGTTGTGGGGGCCACATGGGAACACCTATCCCAGCCTGTAGCCAGTGGTGTAGGAAGATGATGGTGTAGTTCTCAAGGTTCACCCACAATTGCAATATTCCAAAAGGTGGAGCAGTCTGGTCTAGCGCTTAAGAGTGTAGATTGTAGTGTAGAAATAGAGGATTTTCTCCCTGACACCAGCATTCACCAGCTGTGTGACCTTGGTCAAGTCACATGACCTCTCTGTGACTCAGCATCCTCCTCTGAATATGAAGATTAGAGTATCCACCAATTGGGCTGTTGTAAAGTATAAAGGTGGGTGTGAAACTGCCTCTGGGTTGGGTATAAACCTACAAATCCAATGAAGCTGGCAGATATCTCTTCAAAGACAGTTTCTGTGGAAGAGGAAAGGTTACCAGCCATGGCATCTGGAAGGGAGGCAGAGTAGGGGATGGAAGGAAAGTGGTTGCTGAGTGACACCAGGATCGTTGTTGTGGGAATAGGGGTGTCCATATGTTCAGCTCTCTGAGAGCCCATTCTCCCCCCAGCCTATGCATTGTGAATGACCAACTGTCTGTGAGGGATGCGAATCTCAAAGAGATCTCGAGTGCCTTCTCCACCCAGTGTCTACACCCTCCCCCAGCTCCGTGGCCACCCTGTCCCAGGAGAAGCAAGAAATGGTGCAGGGGTTCCCGTCCCAGTCTGGGATGAACCTGGAGTAGTTGCAGAAGTAAGTGCTGAGAGTGGGTGGGGATGGGGGTGAGCTGGGAGGAGCTGGAGTGTGAATGAGGGGAACTTGCAAGTAATGTGTTCTGTTTGTTTATTGCACTCATTCGCACACAGAGCATCTTTCCCACACAGTATGTAGTACACAACCTAGTCGTTCTGAACAGGTCACAGTACTTTCTGAATTCTATGGACCCTGTTCGTTCATTGACAGACACTGTGGTTTCCAGGGGTTGTTCCACCTTACACAGGAGGACAAAGTGCTCATTCTGCTGCGTTCATTACCTAGATTCTGATGCATAGACTAGTATGTGGCCCTGTGTGATCAGTGTCTCTACTTTGGTCCTAGTGGGTTCCTCCCATCCTTCCTCCACCCCAACTGCTTTCATGACAACATCTGGGACAGCACCAGAGCCTCTCATGGGTTTGCTTTGTCCAGAGTGATGTCTGGGAATCTGGGCCAAGTGAATGGAGTCCAGGTGGCGTGTGGGTGACACTCAGGGTTCCTGGCTCTGATGATGCCTCACCTCCTCCTTTCCTTCCCTCCAGACTGTGATCAAAGTGCCAGAAGACACCTTCATGAAGTGACCCACGGTCCTCACAAAGAACCCCCTAGGAGCCTTGGCTCTTGTGATCTTCCTTATCCTTGTTGTTCTCCCTCTTCTCTGGCCTGTGACTGAGGGGAGAGGCCCAGCATGCCCCAGGAACCCACAGCTGACCTCATAGAGTGACACTCATCCACCCAAAGGGACTTTCTTCTGTGTATTTGTCCCACCTGGTTTCTCTATTTCTTTTAAAAATAGTGACATTGCCCCTCTTGCCAAATCCCTTCAGATCTATTTGAGCCAAACATTACTATCACTGTCCTTCAGAGAGTAGAGGGAGGATCTGAGAGGGAAGGTGACCTTCTGGGATATTGGTGTGGTATCAGGGCTGAGATCACTCTCTAACCCTGATAACCCTTAGTGATAACTAGTGTGTTAATGACTTTGATTCCACATAGATCACTCTTTAAAAGAACACAAAGTTCAAGACAAACATACTTTACTAATTAATTTCAACTAGTGCTTGCTTCAAAGAAAAATTCAGAGGATAGTTTTTATTGATCTACAAAAAGATGCAAAAACGTTCAGGGAGGTCCCATATTTGCATTGTACCTTTCCCCAATGATAACATCTTGTATTACTTCAGCACAATATTCTAATTGAGAAGGTGACATTGCTTCAGCCCATAGAGCTTACTGACATTTCACCAGTTTGACATACACTCGTGTTAGATTGTTCATATATAACCATAATAGTTCCATGAACTTTTATCAGGTGTTTACATTCATGTAACCATCACCATAACAAGATGCAAAACTGTTCCATCGCCACAAAGTTCCTTCATGCTACTTCTTATAGCCACACCCATCTTCTCCCTGCCCTCCATCCCTAATCCATTAAACCATTAAACTGTTATCCATCTATACTTTTGTCATTTTTAGATTGTTGTGTAAATGAATCACAATATATAACCTTTTGGAAAGAGCTTCTTTGACCCAGCATAATTCCCCTGTGATCCATCCAGTTTTTGTATGTTCATTCCTTCTTACTGCTGCCCTGTATCCATGGTATAGATGTACCATAGTTTTCTTAACCATTCATTCATTGAAAGACATCACACCTAGTCCCTCTTTTTGGCTATCATTAATAAAGCTGTTATGAACAAACATTCATGTGCAGGTTTTTGTATGGACATAAGTTTTAATTTTTCTGAATAAACTGCCCACGAATGCAATTTCTGGGTCATACAGTTATTGCATATTTAGTTTTGAAAGAAACTGCCAAATTATTTTACAGAGTGGCTGTGCTACTTTACATTCCCACAAGCCATGTATCAGTGACCCAGTTCCTCCATATCTTCACCTACATTTGGGCTTGTCACTAATTTATTTTAGCCATTCTGATGGGCATGCAGGAGCTCTGGTAGCATAGTGCTTAAGGCACTTAACTGCTAACCAGAAGGCTGGCAGTTCAAACCCACCAGCCACTCCTTGGAAGGAAGGTTGGGCAATCTACTTCTGTAGTGATACTGCCTCGGAAACCCAAAGAGGGGTCTCTATGAGTCGGATCTGACTCCATGGCCACGGTTGCGTTGCATTTTTGATTGGCATGCATGATAAATATCACTGTGGTTTTAATTTCCATTTATATGATGACTGATACACATGGGGTCACCATGAGCTGGAAATGACTCGATGGCAGTTGTTTTTTGTTTGTTTGTTTTATTTTGGTTTGGTTTTATGTCTAAGGGTTACCAAGTGTCAGAATCAACTCAATAGCAATGTGTTTTTTTGGTTTGCTCGCTTGTTTTATTTTCCATTTGTATACCCTCATCAGTGAAATGCTCATGTCTTTGCCTGTTTTCTAATTGGACTTAGAGGCCAGAGGGTAGCTCTGCTGAGCTGCTGCCTTGGTTCAGCTTGCTCAGCAGAATGAGAAAATGTGAGGTCCGTTGGAACTTTTTTTTCTGGGCAGAGAGAGCAGACGTGGGACTGAGAAAGCATAAGGTTCCTCAAATGAGGATGGATCTTCAATTTGGAACAGGATTAAGAGGTAAAGGATTCCCAGGCCCATCTTTGGAGACCTGGATACAGCAAGTTTGGGAGATAATGGGGTGAGGGATGCCTTGGTAGTGATGCTGGATCCATCATTTCCGTCTTCTCTCTAGGATGCAAAAAACTATTGTCCTACATCTGTAGTTTTCAACTCTGTCTATCCACCAGAATCCTTAAATGAATCAAAATCTGTAGGGGTGGGGTCTAGACATCAGTATTTTTAAGGCTTCTCACTTGATTCTAATGAGCTGTCAAAACTGAGAAATTTATTTGATAATCTGAACTACTATAGGTGGACAATTCAGCTCCCTTTTACCTGACCTCTTAGGACTACCAGATACTTCTGCATTCATTTCATTGGGCAGCATTTGCTCATGTGACCCCATCTAGCTGCAAGGGAGGCTAGAAATGTGATATTTTACCAGATACATTGCTGCCCCAAATTGAATTAGAGATTGTCTTACTAAAGAAGAGGGGTAGTATTGGTACATATAATCTGCTACACCTTTACACCCAAGACAGCTATAAATGCTCCCTCAATTATCTAATCCTTTCTTCCCAATTCTCCAAGCATAGTTTTCATGGGTTCAAATAAAACCACTACTTTAATGTCATCTGAGCTTTACGTCCTCCCACATCTCCTGTCTCAGATTGCCTGGCTTATCACAATTTAGCATACAAATCTTTACTGGATACTGTTCACTCAGAGCTCTAGTGGTGCAGTTGTTAACATTTTCAGCTGCTAACCAAAATGTTGGCAGTTCCAGCCCCACACTGCTCTGTGGGAGGAACATGATGCAGTCTATTTCCATAAAGATTTACAGCCTTGGAAACCCTACGAGGCAGTTCTACTCTGTCCTATAGGATCCTACAGGATCACTATGAGCCAAAATTGACTCAATGGCAGTGGGTTTTTGGTTTTTATGAATTGAGCTTGGTGATGATTGAGAGTATTCACTCATAAGAAGCTGAAAGAGATACATGGATCCACATAGGAAAGAAATTTGGAGGGAAGGAGACTATCAGGAGGCTAAGGCTTGATGCCCTGCCATCTTGTGTGGCTGCAGGGAAGGGATGCAAGATTGCCTAATGAAGGGAGGTTGATGAGGAATTACTGTGTTCAATGTGCCTTCTCTTTGGTTCTCAGGAAGGCATTAAATATAATGCATATTGAATATTTTAAAATTAGATTTATCTTTGGTTTGGGGATAGGGTATGGAATTCAGGGTCTGCACTCCAAGTTGGGGCAAGAGCAAAGGTGTCCCTAAGTGTCTCAATCATATTTTGCTTACAATACATTAGCTGCAGTGATTGACAATTGTTGCAGTAGAAGTTGAATGTATAAGTAAGGGCTCTACCCTCAGAGAAATGGAACAGACCAATCTGTTCTTGTTATTAGCTGCTGTTGAGTTGACTCTGACTCATGGTGACCTCGTGTGTTACAGAATGAAACTTTACCCAGTCCTGTGCCATCTCCATAATCTTTGATTATGATAATAATCATAATCATAATCTTTGATTAAGTGTGAGTTTATTATTGAGGCAATTGCATCAATCTATCTCATTGAGTGTTTTCCTCATTTTCACTGACCCTCCACTTTATCTTCTCTAGTGATTGGTCTTTCCTGGTGACAGTGTCCAAAGTAAGAAAGACACAGTCTGGCCATCCTTGCTTTTAAGGAGCATTCCAGTTGTATTTCTTCTACAACTGTGTTATTTGTTCTTCTGGAAGTTCATGGTATATTCAATATTCTTCACCAAAACCATAATTCTAATACATCAATTCTTTTCCTGTCTTCTTTTATCTTTGTCCGACTTTCACACACATAGGAGGCAACTGAAAAGCTCATGGCTTTGGTCAGGCACATCATAGGCATCGAAGTGATATCTTTGCTTTTTAGAACTTTAAAAAGGACTTTTGCAGCAGATTTGCTTAATGGAAAATGTTTGATTTCTTGACTGCTGCTTCCATGGGCATTGATTGTTGATGCAAGTAGAATGAAATTCTTTACAACTTTATTTTTTTCTCTATTTATTGTCATGGACAAGCACATCTGTAGAAGGTTCTCCAATTGTTTCGGAGATGTTCTGCTTTTAACATAATGGGTAGATTTTGACAGGTGGCTGGTGCTTCCTGCTCCTGCCCTGCTCTTGATCCTCTGTTCTGCGTCTTTGATCAGTTGCCCTACCCACCCGACACTCTCTTTACAGAAGTCTATTCTCAATCACAGAGAAGAGAATATTCCCCTGTAGACATTGTTTTGCAGACCATTTCTGTGGTCTGCTCAGGGGTTACCACTGATTCATCGGTTTTCCAGTTCCAAAATTTGTTCACATTATATTTTTATGGATGTCCTTCTCTTCCACTGTATGATGTTTTTCTGCCTCCCCTCATAC